TGTCCCCAAGGAGGCTGTCCCCTGGGAGGGCTTGTCCCCAAGGAGGCTGTCCCCTGGGAGGGCTTGTCCCCAAGGAGGCTGTCCCCTGGGAGGGCTTGTCCCCAAGGAGGCTGTCCTCTGGGAGGGCTTGTCCCCAAGGAGGCTGTCCCCTGGGAGGGCTTGTCCCCAAGGAGGCTGTCCTTTCACACGAGGTCTGCAAGAGCTCTCAGGGAAGCAGCATCCTGGATGGCTTCAGTAAAAAGGTCCAAGCAACCAAACAACTTTGAGATTATAAGGTTATTTACTTTGTTTTTGTTTTTGGAAAAAATGCCGAATTTCATTTCCCATCAGGTTGGAACATATCTGTTGTAACATAAGACAAGAGCTTGTGTTGGCTGGGAAACATTTAACAGCGCAGAACTCCAAAAAGCAAACCAACGTGCGAAAGATTATACATAGCCAACTTGGTTTCTCTGGTAACGTGTTTCTATGGAAACTGCTCCTATGGAAACTTCAATGGCATACTTGGGAGAGGTTTCCGAACCCTGCACCTCACCCTCCAACACTGACCAAGCAAAACTACAGCTTAACTTCACACTTCAAAGCACATTCAGTGCAAATGCGGGATTCAACGTTTTGTGTCAAAACTAACGGTTCATTCTGAGCCCGAGGAGGAGATCCGAATATCTGCAGGAACCACAAACAGCACAGGGAGAGCCTGCAAAGGCCCGCACATACAAAAGAGGCAGGATTTGAACCCCCGACCTCAAGGCTACCCACTAGACCACGCAGGTAAACCACAAAGTACTATAAAAGGGTTTATAACTGAAAGTCCAAAAATGTACTTTATGTCTTTAAAATACAAAATTTACTTAAACTGCAATACAAGGTCTCTGAAATACAAATAACTAAATGTAATAACTCACAGGAAGGGGCTTCCCTGCATGGCAGCTTCTCATCTCGAGTGTGCTTGAAAAAACGCCTGTTTCTTATTACTCTGTGTTAACGCGGCAGCCGGGCCTTTGCAGGGGAAAAGCTTGTGTAAACACAGCCACGCTCAACGCTCGGAGCCTCACTCACTGCAATGTACAGTTGCTGATTCCTCCATAAAACACAACCAAGTTTATAAGGAATAAACCTCTGACTGCCACAGTTATATTCACTCACATGGGGGGCACCTCACCTGCTCTTATTCCACAAAAGTGTTGAGTGCACAGATCCAAATGAACTCAGAGCACTTTAGGGCGTTTTTTTAGGCCAAGCTATTTTTATGAGCCTGCTTTGCTGAAACGCTGAGCCAAGGCCCCAAGGCCGAGGAAGCCCCCCCCCCCCCGTCTGCGCTGGGGTTCAGCTGCAGGGGGAAACATGACCCCCTAGCCGATGTGCACCCCCCCATCACCGCCCCCAACACACAGGCACGCGCACCCACTGCCTCCACGCACACAAACAATACCAGGGCTCCAGCGGGGGCAGAACGGGGACAGCAGGGCCCAGGGGACAAGGGTAAACGCGGCCGACTCCTCCCGCAGCCCCCGCTGCCATGGCAACCGCAAGGTCACCATGCCCATTGCAGCAACAAAAAAAAAAGAACAAGGAAAAAATGCAGCAGATTGCCCTGCAGGCAGGAATGCAGGCCTTTTCAGCCGGGCCTCCCCTGCCCCCGCCCTCGCCCTCGCCCCACCCCTGCTGACGCTACGGCCCACTGTGGTGCCTTCGCAGAGGGACTTTCCAATAAGGAAGCTTGCATGCTCTAAAAGTTGACAAACAGGTCCCTACCCCCACACCCCCCTCCCACTGAGATGCGGCTTGCCGTGCGAACCCACGGAGCGTGATCGCAGGTTGACGCCACCCCCACCCACGCTCCGGCCTGGAGGCCATACTTTCATCTCCACCTGGCAGCTCGAGAAGGCCCCGGACCCCCTCGAAATACTTTCGCGCTCTCAACCCCCCTAGGCGATTACCCCCAGCCACCCCGGCCCAGCCATGGGGAGGCCGTGTCCGTGAGAGAGGGCAGCAGCACCGACGCACCCTGCCATAAGGCCCCCCCCCCCTCCCCCGTCTTTCAGCCTGTAAACACAGCGAATCCCCCCATCTGACAACAGGTAAAGAGAACTACGAAGCTTCAGTGCACATGCTAGACTGTGTACCCCACAAAACCTGCCATTTACAGAAAAAAAGGATGAAGAAGCCATTACTATTATCCCTTTTCTCCCTTCCTGTTCCTCAGCTAACAAACCTTTCACCGCACATAAAACAACACGTAGCAGCATACCTTATCTTAAAGCACAGAACATATACGACAAATTCTTCAGCCGTGGACCGTTAAAATTTTAGGGCAGCCTAGGATGAGACAAAGATGGGTGCGGAATTTTCCAGAAGGGCCTTGCTCTCCCGGCTGCTCCACTGCAATTGTCAATCTTTAACCTCGGCTGTGGCTGCGATTGGCCCAGACGCCACACGGACACATCTGATTGGCCGACCGAGCTGTGCCACATTGCTCCCCTCTAACCCAACTCCCTCTCAGGCATTTTGCTGCAGTGCAGGGGGATTTCTCCCCAGGACATAAAAAAAATAAATAAAAACACAAAAATCCTCACAGCGAAACTGAAAATAAAGAATAAAAACATGCGAGGACCGGCGCTGCAGTAAGAGCTTGCAGGGAAAGGGCTGTGTAAATGCTGGCGGCCATCTATGCAGGGATCTCGTCCAGCAGCGACTGCGGCGGCTCGCACAGCCGCTTAAGGCCGCCTCGACTGGCTGCCAGGTCTTCCTCAGCAGAAACCGCGGCCGGGAGTGAGAACAATGTGCTGTGGACGCTGAAAGGACATAGCACTCACTGCCTTCCTCCCCCTCCGTGCCATGAAAGTGATTAAAAATGAAAGTAGCCTGATGGCAGTGTTAGGCCACTGGGTTCAAAACAAAGTCATTAGCACTGCCGTACCGTCACACTCCGTATCCGTGGAAACGGTTACCTTCGCCGTATCTGAAGGGCTCAACTGGCAATGTACTGTCATGGCACAGGGTGTCAATAATCTCAGCTACAAAAAAAATAATTCAGAGGACAAATAACCATGGAAGCATGGAAGCCTCCCATCCGGACAGACAGACGTTCAACAAAACTGCAGATGAAATCTCTAAATTCAAGCAAATGGCCGACTTGTCAGCACGGTGACTTGGCACAGCTCCAACACAGCAGCCAATCAAAGAACAAAGATGGTCTTTCATAATGCATAAGGTGTATCCAGGAAAGAGCAGATCTGTAAGTAACTGTAACGCAAGCGCACAGTTTGTGACAGAGGACAGACATTCAAAAGCGCTCGGAGGGACCGATCACTGTGCGAGGGAGACGTAACAAGCTCCCAGAGCTCCCAGAATGTCGCTACGGCCAGCCAGAGGTTATGGATCGCGGCCGGGTAGAAGCTACTGGGGCGGTACCAAACTGCAGCCACTGCAAACAGAAATGGCTGCCGCCTCAAGGACGTATCTGCGCTGCAGGCTCCTTACACGGTTGAGTCCCTCTGAGATGAAAAGCCAGCGTCTGACGTCGAGAAGGACAAGCCGCTCACGCCCAGGACGGCCTGCGTGTGCGGGAGTCCCGGGGCGAGTGCCGGCTCCGCATGCCCCGCCACAGCCCCCCGTACCAGCTGCCGTCTGTGTGTGGCCGAAATGAGGCCTTAGGTCACAGTCTCAGCGTTCGCGTGTCATTACAGGGACGAGCGTTACATGCTGGGGAGCTGTCAAAATGAAAGTGGAGGTAGGTTCTGTAAGAGCAGAGGCCGCTAGCAGGAGAGGGAGCACCAACACAGCCCAGCACACTCAGATGAAAGCTCCCTATATTATTAAATACATTTAATGCTTTTTATTTTCATGTCATTACATAAGAAAAAGTATCAAATCGCTTTTTTTTTAATATTAGTTGAAGATGCCCCCCCCCCACATTCCTGCTGCACCCCCACCCCAGCCCCTTCTTGAAGTGGCATTATGGGAAGCAGTGATAAGTTAGGCCTCCTTCCCCCAGGGTAGGGTAGGGTGGGGTGGGGGGGGAGGGGGGGGGCTGCTCCCACACTGTAACACAGGTCCACAACACAGTGGACTATGTGAGCCACCCCAGACCCCTACCCCACCCCCATCTGTACCACCCCCCGAATTTCCCAACCCCCAGTAATAAAAAAAAAAAAGGTCAAACCAGTAATGGTCAACATGTTAAACACATTAGTGTTCTTAAAGAAACCCCCCCATCCATAATTTAAAATATATTTTTAATGGATCTGCTAAGGCCACACCTGCAACTCAATATGGAGACGGTCTGAGCCCCCATGTGATCAGAGGAACGGGCTTCCAGCAGGAGAGAGAGCCTGCCTCTGCCTCTGCCTCTGCCTCTGTCTCTGGCCCAGCCCTGGCCGGGCCTGCCACTCAGCTGTGGGCCTTGCTGGCTACTCCTGCCATCTCCTCCACAAGTATCAGACTGTATCTCTGCAGCAGACAAGCAACACATGAATAGCAAGAAAAGGAAATAGAAATCAAGCTTACCTCTGTGGATGCATGGCTAGCACAGTGTTATGTCAATGCTTATAGAAAAAAAACATGGAGGACGGCCTCACAGTCCACAGACTGAGCAGGGCTCGGCACTCCAGGCTTGGCGATCGGGGCTGTCTGATAGAAGCCGGATCCTGAGTGGCCTCCTTTCACAGGCAGGATGTAAGGGTGCACCCGATTGGCTGAGACATTTCCTGAGTGATTATCTTTGTTCAGCGCAGTCAGGCAGGAGCAGCTCTGTGGACACACAAAAAGGAGCTAGGCCTGAGCCACAAAATACACGCTTTAAAGCATTCCTGCGCTCAGATGAATGCGCAGAACGCAATAAAACCTCAGTATAACCACACAACACGTGTTTTACGTGATATTTGTCCACGGGTTTTCTTTTAAAAGGACATAAAAACATGGCTGTCTGGCTTGCAGCCCTCTTGCCGAGGGAAAGGCCTTTGTTTCAGAAATCCCTCCCTGTTTGTCAGCTGTCCACATATGATCATTCTCACAAACAAGTAAAACTGAACAAAAGAACAGTAACCAGCGACTAGATAAAAGCACTTTCCACATCTTTCAGTTTCTATCTGTGCCCTTTGTTGGCTGATCTTAACATCAAATAAATCTAAGTATGATACACAAAATACAGCCCATATATAAATGTTACTACAAAAAAAATACAATAATCAGATAAATGTATGATACATATTTTAATTTGTGCATTAAAAGCTTCTTTGTGCAATATTTTTAGAACTGTGCAATTGTAAAATATATTCCTTGTGATTTTCCAGTAACAATGTTATTTTCATGTTCATACTATTTTGCCTGCATCCTGACATATAACACATTAATCCAAATCAGATTGATCTTTTTATGCTACTCTCTTACACAAGGGCTAGCACACTTTGCACTTTATCTTCCAAGAGTTAAATGAAACAAAAATTATTGAAAAGTTAATTAGGACAAATTTAAATATTTAACTCTGACGTAAAATGTGCACTCATTGATACGTTATATTCCAAATAAAAATATATAGAACATGTTTAAAGCGTTGCTCTGCTTTTGTTGTACAGTAAACCAATGTCAAATAAATGTTTAGAATAATCATAATTTTTTAGAAGATGTTTTGAGATGTGAAGATAAAAAAAAAATCCCATAAATCACTTTGTTCTAAAAATGTTTTTACTTCATTGTAATTTTGCTTCAATATACATGCTCGCTGTCGGCATCTCAGAAAAAAGACACTGCTTCAAGGGTGGCCTAATAAGATTACGGCACTAAAGCACTATAATACTGCTCAGCTGCCATCAAAAATAGTATTTCACAGGGTTAGGGTTAACCCTAAACCCTCTGCAGTCACACCACGTTTTCGCCTCATTACCATACCCTGATAATACTAGAATTCTGCAAACAGACCTTTTCATACGATTATCTGAAGTTAACCGGCCAACTAAAGACATTTCAAGGCATCTTTCACTAATGCAGATTTTAAGAGTAATGGAGACATCTAGAGGATGAAACAAGAGTTGCAAAGAGTCACCGTGTGGGGTCTGTTACAGTGTTACAGTGGGTCCCAGGCCAACGCTGTACATGCTAATATAGTCAGAAACCTTGAAATTAACTACATGCTGATTTTGTTAGATTTGATTCTTGAGAGATTTTTGAATGTCTCTTTGTATGTATAAATAAGCTAAAATAATCATCCTCAATAAAGTCACCATTATCTTATGGCCTGTATAGTATAACTTAGGTCTGTTATTTTGCAACAGCCTATCAATTCACCTTCCAGAAGATCAGAAAGTCATTTTGTGACTTTGTATCATCTTTTACATCTTCTCTTGTATTTCAGAGCTCTTTTATGGACTCGCATTCAAAATTTGTTACAAACAACCTGCATGTGTCTTCTATTAAACGGCACAGGTTTTATCTCTGTATCACAAACAGACAATGGATGCTTTAGCCTCAAACACATGGAGTGAAATGTTACAATTTACGCCACAGTCAGTGATAGTTGTAACACAGCCCCAGATTAGATGACACATTATAAATAATGTAAAAAGAGCAACAATATTAGCACCCAGAACTTGTATAAAAGATATTTACATAGGTACATATTAAAAATAATTTATGTAAGAATAGTGTAAGTACAAAGTTTGCAGTGCTATCACAAAAATTAAGTAGAAAAATATTTTCTTAGCTCAAGTTTCTTTTTCCTCACAAATTTTGTGTTTCTTACAGGGTGTTTCTTCTTACATGTGAAATAAAGACTAAACAGAGCGTATGCAGAGTGCGTTATGTGATTTATATCTTGCTCCTGATTTGAGAAATAGACTTTGTTCCAACTAACCCATGTTATAATCATCACCAGTCTCTCCATCATCTGTAAGGACTGCTTGGCCAAAGGATGGGATTATACTAAAGTCTTTAGAGCAATATTCCTAAGCTGTCTCATACAGGTAGCAATCAAGGGTCAATTCTCAACAATCACCTCCTTGTTACTCTGTTTCACTCTTGTTGGAAAAATTTGCTTTTCTTCTTGTCTTCGAAACAAGGGAAGTTGTAAAGTTACCATGCCCCTATCTACCACTGAGGACACTGAGGTCAAGTCTTCAGCATTTTTTTCTGCAATTCCATTAACCACGATCCATTACAGGCACACCTAGGAAGGGCATACACTAAAAAATCATGACTACCACCCTAAACATTACCATATGTAATATTGCATTGGAATCAATTTGTAGATGGTATTGTATGGAAAAAGGTCTGGCCTATGGGTGTCGTTAGATCCCCGAGTATTTTAGCCCTGAGTATTTTAGCACAATCTTCCTTGGAAAAAAAAAAACAAGAGACAAGTCCCATGAAACAATTTTCCATCTGTTTTGTTGTTGTACAGTTGTTAAACAGGCAAGATATTTCTAATTTTATTTATCAAATTATTCTATGAAGAGATGTATTGTTTGGAATTATTGACAATAATGAAAGAGCTAATATGAGAATGTATGCTGTACATTTTGCAATACTGATGCCAAAATACAGCCATGGCCAAAAGTTTTGAGAATGACACAAATATTAATTTTGACAAAGTTTGCTGCCTCAGTTTTTATGATGGCAATTTGCATATACTCCAGAATGTTATGAAGAGTGATCAGATGAATTTCAATTAATTGCAAAGTCCCTCTTTGCCATGAAAATGAACTTAATCCCAAAAAACCCATTTCCACTGCATTTCAGCCCTGCCACAAAAGGGCCTGCTGACATCATTTCAGTGATTCTCTCGTTAACACAGGTGACAGTGTTGACGAGGACAAGGCTGGAGATCACTCTGTCATGCTGACTGAGTTAGAATAGCAGGCTGGACACACACAGTCATGTTTCTTTTGCATGAAAAGGGCTTCACAGGCAAGGGTATTGCTGCTTGTAAGATTGCACCTATATTAACCATTTATCGGATCATCTACAACTTCAAAGGGAGAGGTTCAATTGAAGTGAAGGTTTCAGGGCGCCTAAGAAAGACCAGCACCAGCGCCAAGACCACTGTTGATTCAGCTGCATGATCAGTATGATCAGTTCACCACCAGTGCAGATCTTGCTCAGGAATGGCAGCAGGCAGGTGTGAGTGCATCTGCATGCACAGTGAGGCGAAAACTTAGAGAATGACCTGGTGTCAAGAAGGGCAGCAAAGAAGCTACTTATCTCCAAGATAAGATATTCTGTAAAAGGTACAGGGATTGGACTGCTGAGGACTGACTGGGGTAAAGTAATTTTCTTTGACAAATCCCCTTTCTGATTGTTTGGGGCATCCAGAAAAAAAGATTGTCTGGAGAAGAAAAGGTGAGTGTTACCATCAGTCCTGTGTCATGCCAACAGTAAAGCATCCTGAGACCATTCATGTGTGGGGTTGTCAATAAAGGCCTTTGACACTTATGAAATGCTTGTAATTATACTTCAGTATACCATAGAAACATCTGACAAAAAGATCTACAAACACTGAAGCAGCAAACTTTGTGAAAACCAATACGCTGTATACTGACAGATGCAAATTCTCAGGCAAAAAAAAAACTGTATCTTTCCAAAACCAGATTGAGTGTTCTGTTAATTCAGCTGTTTGTTAATCAGAAAGCTGTAAAGACAATTAAAAAACAATTGGTCACATGGCAATCAAGATTCACAGAATCTGATATGCAGGCATGGCAATTTCCCTGGTTACTGATTAATTCTGTGTTTCATAAAGAATGTACATTTTGGTAAAAAAAAAAAATGCCCGACTGGTATCGAGCTACGAG